TTCACTTTTATTCATCATTTTATTAACATACTGGGAATTGATTGGTTGAATTGAGGAACTGCACCATCTGAAACAACGTTAATCATTTTAGTTTCCTTCCCTTTAAGGCCAACCTGCCTTTAACCCCCTCAGGCTCAAATGAAACTTTTTGTTGCTAATGCACAACCAAGTCCTGCAGTGTTACTTCTGAGTAAAAAAAAACCTCATAAAATATGTATGTGGGGTAATCAGGTTGTTAGTTTTTAACTGTTGCAAATCGGCAAGATAGTTGGTTGAGCCAACTATCTTGAGATTGGCTGCTTCTCCCTAACAGGAGGTTGACTAGTGTAGGGCTTGCTGCTCAAAGCCAGATTGGTGTACCTGATATCCCCTCTCAACAACATCAAACAGAGCCAAGTGTAGAAAAAATAAATCTCAGAAACCAAGTTATTATAGTATGAAAAAGGAGATTTGGCTCACAGGCATAACTTGTACATATGCTCTTCTCATTTTTTAAACTTTGGCCATTGTAACAGAATATGATGGAAAATACGCAAAAAGCACAATAGATCCACAGAACCTAAACTGGTTTTGTTTTATGTAAGCATACAAAGCGTGCTACAGGCGATAAAGTAAATTTCCTCCAGCTGTCCTGTGTCAAACTAAGAGATTAAGCCAAACTAAAAGATGACCCTACAACAGTAAAGACATCATCTGGTGTGACAGAGCTTTTTCAGCCAAGTGTTAAGTGTCTCTATGCCCCACCAGTAGTTCAGAGGTATTGTTTTAAAGGGAAAGGCCTTGTATTTTAAATTTTTACTCGTGGCTGCTTTCACAAAGATCTGTGTTGACAACTTGACACGTTTTCTTCCCTCTGCACAGATTGTACCCAGCAGTCTGAGTTTCAGAGCATGTGGTGACCTCTTGAAAGTCTAGGCCACTGCTGCCCCCAGTCAAGTCTTTTCCACCACATTTAACATTTTAATACTCCTTTACCCTCATGTGAGTCAGTCTTTGATGTTTCTGAAAAGTCCATGTAAATGTCATGCATTTAAGTAAGTCTGTCCTGAGTGCAACTAGGTCCTAATAAAACGAAGGTTAAACTTTAGCAATTTACCTGTCATGCTGCTCTTGGAAATTCGGCATTTAATTCTTTCTAATCACCTGGCAGCCATATCACAAGATTACCAGTTTGATCCATTCATACTTCACACATACTCAAAGAAAATTCAATTTTGCAGCGAGAGGTTTGAATGTTTGACTTTGCGTCGGCCGCTGCTTCCCTGAGAGTTGGGATTAAAGAGCCGCTAACAGAATAAAGGGATTCGAGAGGCGCGTTGCCTCAGGCAGATCGCGTCAGTTGCTAAAGAAGAAGAATATTTGCAGCCGTTGTATGGCTTATGATTGGCTGGGTTTGCACCACATCGCAGTAGCTCCAGTCCTTTGGCTAAAGGGCACACAGACAAAAAGGCAGAGCCGATTATCTGTGTCTCATCCAGAGGCAGCACACAGCAGACATCCATTGTATGGCTTCAATGTGATGTTGAAGCCTTTCACAGGAGTCACAAAAGACTTGAGATTATTGAGATTTCCCTGATAGTATTGCCATTGTTACTGATATTAAGATATTGCAAGGAGTGTGAAATATCTGTGCAACCAACCTGCAAAACAAAGTAACTGTTTTAGAGTTACACTTTAGTGGGCTTGATAAGAAGTGTTTGATAAGAGTAAACACATTGAATGATAACAACTCCTTCACCCTCTTCAGTTTTCAATGTTGTCTCGTTGTAATGGATCCACTGTAATATTTGGTGAATGAGGTGCAGGTTCAATGTATCTGAACCACAGCAAGCTACTGAAAATGTAGAGGGTGTTTGAGGTTAACAGGAGTCATGCCTCCATGTTAAAGCAGCTGTTGCGCACCACTTCCTACTGACGGAAACATGCTTTACACCAGTTTAATTATGTGTAAAGCAGCACTCAGAAGCAGGAAATGCAGCGTTTAATTCCAAACTTAGCCAATCAGTGCTCCTTTGATGAAACTGTGTGTTGCCTAATGGTGTTGTCAGTGAGTACTTTTATCGTTTTTTTTGTATCATCTTCCTGGTCAGCGTTTGATCTGTATTAATTAAATTCTTTAAAAAAAAAACAACTGTTATTTGCACGTGCCATGTGGTACGCATCATTTCCCCCCTTTATTCTCATTCACAACAACTTGTGAAAGCAATTAGAGCAATGCTTTAAGTAGCAGTAATGATACATACAATGAATTAACCAACAGAGACGCTGTTATTTTAAAGCTTGTAAAGGACTTCCAGGCTTAAATTAAACCATTTGCACATTTCCTATTCATTGCAGGTCACTGTCACCACTGTGTTGCAGCTTTGAAATTGGTTCACTTTCATTGTTAAAAAAAGAATGAAATATAATTACAATAACAGTGCCTAGAGTGACTGAGATAACACGGTTTAGCGACACCGTCGTGGCAAAGGGCCACGCTCTCCTTTCGTCACATAAAACGGAAATTATTTCAGCTGGTTTGATCTTCCTCTATTTACATAATATCAGTGTGGTTGAGCAACACGGGTGGGCATTTATCATTGATACTGCATTTTGAAATATTCTAATAATTAAAGGCAATAGCTGTCCGGTGAGCAGGATTCATTTGGCATGATTGAATGATTGGCACTTTCCAAGCCAATTTGGTTTCGGGTGACCATACAGACACGGTAAAGAGAGTAATGATGTCAGGGACACGTCGCCAGCTCATGATAGAGTGACTCATTTCCTATTAGCAAGGCCTGATTCCACATGGTTTCCTTTTTGCATAACGCCTCGACCCACGTCTGTGCCGCCACGCCACTTCGACTGACACCTCTTAACTAAACACACAAAATGGAATAGACATAAGCCCTCACTCCTCATCAGCATTCAGTAGAAACACGGGCATCACCCTGGCCCTGCTTTTCATGTAGGAAAACAAAGACACCATTTGTACGCATCTAGAATGGTTGCTTAAGAAGAAATAGGATTGCACATCAGAGCAAATCGTGCCCTGTGAGCTGTAACAGTGATTTGGTTCAGGAAGAAACTGAGCTTACTATTTTACTCTGCTTTGTGTGATTTACATTGTGATTTCAGGTCATTTAATTGCTGAATTACACTGCAGCCTTCAGTGTTTACTTAGGGAAAAAGTTCTGGACCTTGTGTGTGAAATTAAAGCTACAATGTATAATATATTAATTAAAAAAATGCATTATGTGCTGTTGCTGTGCTGCTGTTTGCTGTTGTTAGGGCAAAAAGAGAAATAAGATTTATTCTGCAGTTTTGGCTATTAGTTTCTTTGCAGATGAATCTTATACATGTTTCTATATATTCAGTATTGGTCTAGTTAAATTATGTGTTGTTAAATTTTTTTGCAGCCTGTGCGACTGGAGAAAAGATTTTTCAGTGAAAATCTCTCATAATTCATGCATCCATCCATCCAGCCGTGCATGCATGCATATCTGGGTCTGGGTCGCAGGGGCAGCGTCTAATAAGAGATGCCCGGACCTCCCTTTCCCCACTCACTGGCCACACCACAGCGTTCCCAAGCCAGCCAAGAGATGTAATCTCTTGATTGTGACCCTAATTGGACATGCCAGAAACACCTCAACCAGACGGCGCCAAATAACTTAATCTCAGCCAACCTTTTCTGGCAGAACAATGCTACAGATTTACAATAGTATGCAACTTCTTAAAAAAGGGCTATTCCAGTTACTGAATATGCTTACTTAAAGCCCTGGAGATTTCGACTTAACTTTGCTTTTTAAGGATTTCTTTAGAACATAATGCATTCATGAATAAATAAAGCCAAGGTTAAAAAATGATGAGTTGACATAGAGAGAAAAACACAAATAGAGAAATCTCTCGTGAAAAAGACAAAAAATACTGCTCATGTGGGATCCCAGGCTTTCAAGGCCTTTAATAATCATTTGGAAAGCTATATTTTACGCTGTGATCTGGAAGAGGAAAATTGTGAAAAAACTTTGGAAAAGCTATTTTATATATAAGTTAGACCCTGTATGAATAATAAGATGAGCCAAATGCCAAACTAGATTGAGAACTGGACAGCTGGTAAGACAACAAATGTGAAGAATTACCATTTTCAGTCAGGAATAAAATTCACAACCCAATAACAGGCACAAAGAGGGATTCAGAGACCCATCTGCCTCCAATGCGGGCCCACAGTGAGACGACACTTGTGTAGCTCTGTTATAGGGTATGGTGTGAGCTGCTTCCTACACAGAACAAAAAACATCTCTCCGTAATATTGGTGAGTCCTGCAAGTGTGAGGGATACGTTTGAAGCTAAATGTCCAAAATGCAAGCCTACAACATGTTTGTAGGGTTATCCCTCTGCTCTGCTGTTTGCAGTGTACGACCAGAGATCAGCATTGTGTCGTGCTCTCTGTGGGCCTGCTCTGCTTCTACCTCTGAAAATAGCACAATAAGGAGGCCTGCTTGAAATAGCCTTGTATCACATCCTGCTATACCACAGTTTTATATGCCAGGAGGCGCATATGAGGAGCGCAAGCGTTCGGGGAGCAGCTAAGGTTCATATGATGGACAGCGCTGACAGGCGTAATGATGTGTAAATTACAAGCGGGTCCACATCGCAATGTTCTCCCTGGTGGTGAAAGAGCAAACTCATTTCATAAACACAATGATCGCTAAAATATTCATAACAAACAAGGAAACGGGGTCAGACTCCCTTCTCCTACCAGGCCATTAAATTTCCTTTGTGCACGTTAATTAAGTCAACAAATGACTTATAAGATCACAGTGCCACTATAGTGCCTATAGGGCCAGTCTTCTGCATGCGCTCCGACAAATTAGAGGTTTTGTACAACAAAGACAGGAATTATAATGGTATGCGGTGAAGACAATTTGTATTGAGGCTGATAGTACGTAGGGAGCAGTGATAAAGTGCTGTAATAAAATACAAACAAAAGGCAGCGAGACAGATCAGACGAGACTTACAGCTCTTGGAGTTGGAGGTGCTGGAAGAGCTGCCATGACAGAGTGGTGAGAGGATTCTTTGACAAGTTTCTGTGGAAGAAAGAAAAACAAAAGGAATGTTAAATCGAGTTATTTTATGTGAATTATTTTAGGTCCCTTCCTTGATGTCATGTTTGTTCTGCTTTTGTACAATTTCTTCTGTTCCATTTCCGAGGTCTTTTAGTTCCAGAAACCCAATGGCAAAGCTTTGTGGGGTCATTTTGACATTTTTCTCCCCCTTTTAAGCTAAAGGGAAACTTTTAGTCTCTTTGGGTTTTTTTTTTTTTTTTTTGCAATGTTCTAGATTTATTTTTAAACAGATAAAACTGGCATTTCCCCATCAATCTAGAAGCAATGAACTATAAGCACAAGTTTATGCCTTTATAGATGTTTGCAAATTTATAATTTAAGACCGAAATGTTTAAATCCCTTATTTAAGCATTCAGAACCTTACCTGAATACACAGAAGGAGACATAATGGCAGCAATGACTCTACAGGCTTTGGATTCAGTTAATGTTAGGAAAAAACAGAATGCTTTTTTTTTTGTTTCTATATAAATAAAATGTTTTGCAATGCCAAAACAAGTTACAAAATGGCAAATAGCCTGTATTTGTATGGCACTTTTACTAGTCCCTAAAGACCTCAAAGCGCTTTACACATCCAGGCATTCACCCACACATTCACGGCAAGCTACATTGTAGCCACAGCCACCCTGGGGCGCACTGACAGAGGCGAGGCTGCCGGGCGCAACCGGGCCCTCTGTCACCACCAGTAGGCAACGGGTGAAGTGTCTTGCCCAAGGACACAACGACCGAGACTGTCCAAGCCAGGGCTCGAACCGGCAACCTTCCGATTACAAGGCGAACTCCCAACTCTTGAGCCACGAGCCACGATCGCCCACAAATTTCAACTTACACAATTTTGTCAAGTTTATGGGAGAACCCATTTCTAAAAGTTGCTTTGACACATAACTATAGAGTATAAAAACAGCTAGAGCAAATGATGTGTGTGTGTTATTTTGGGGGTGGACAGTGTCAATCAATTTCAGTCTGAAGGGGTATTCATCTTCTACAGTTCTGACCAACTCCCTGTTCCTGGTTCTGAGAGGCACCCCAACAGCAACCCCCAACTAAAACAGCAACTGCCATACTTTACCATTAGAATTGTATTAGCTAGATGATAAGGCGTTCACCAGATTTCCAGTTCACCTTATTACAAACTGAAGTGCCAAATACTGAATATGAGAAGTTTTCAGTAAGTATAAATGTACAAAAAACAAAAACAAAAACCCAAACAAAACATATTTTCACTTTGTCATTACAGGTTGCTGAGTGTATTAATGGGGAAAACACATTTATTCATTTAAAAATGGATCTGCAAGTGTCCAAAGAACCAAAGAGGTCGGAGTATTTTCTTTAAATAACAAAGCCACATTTTAGTAAGACAAAATTAAACAGCCTAATTGCAATGAGAATCCACATGCCTGTATTAATGGATGAAAATAAGGCAAAGTACTATTGACAAAGAAAAGGGACCAGCCCTGGCTGAGTGGAGCTTCAGGGCTCAGCCAACTCAATAAAAGTAAGTTGACCGCTTTCAAGTCAAATAATTCAATTGACTTAAGGAAACCCTCCGGCTTAGGAAGCCATTAAATTCAATAGCAAACAACCAGAGACTTACAAGTGATTTGACCAGAACCTTGAATTAGTTTAAATATGAACATCAGGCATCTATGAATACATTTATTAAATCATATAACCTCTCTGTAAGGGTTTTAAAATAGCCGTTTATCATAAAGCAGTGTACAACATTGAATCCTATTAGCTGTATATGAAGCATCAAAGTGCTCTATTACATCATGAGAGAATCATTTTATCTGATCATTGTTTTCTTTGCTGTAGTTTCAGAGCAGCACTCGCTCAGTGACTCATATATTCTGCACATTATTGCTGCTTTGAACTGATATAAAAGTAAGAGCATCTATAAGAGGAGGAAGAAATGATTTATTCAGTCACAGGAAATGACATGATGTAATTTATGATACATATATTAAACCTTAAAGGAGCAACTCAAAATATAATTCAGCAAATAGATAACAGGTTGATTATCAAAATATGGATACCTAATTAGTAAAATTTTTTAAAATGAACAGTTTTCTACATATATCAGTAACATCAGGATTGTATTACAGAGCATAAGACCATTATTAGAATGTGTCTAAAAAACATGGAAATTGTATAAACAGTGTGATATATAATTTAAACAACATAATAAAACAAATAAAATAATAAATAAAAAGTGCCAAATACACACAATAGAGTATGCAGTTTTAATATTTTCTCTCTCTCTCTCTCTCACACACACATACACACTCACACACAGTCTAATATGTTAATTTGTATGGAAGACATTAGATGCTCCTGTATCCAGACGTGTCGCTATAGCAACAGGGAGCTAAGGATGTTGCAGGTCTGACTTATTTCCTGTGATATCACACATGCAATCACACATGCAAACACACACACTTGCAGATTTAAGAAATTTTTACATCTGCATAAACACACTCACACGTATTGGTTAAACACACTTGAAATGTACGCTGATGTGAATGCTCTAAATAGAGGAGATGTGTGGCAGAATATGTAAAGATGCTGCATGAAATTTCATCTCCAAAAGGAAACCTGTGTTCCCAAAGGGGTTGTATTATGCACTGAAAGAATACATTATGGGAGAATGAGAAAGAGAGAGAGGGGGAGAGAGACAGACAGGGAGAGAGAGGCAAAAGGTGGGCGAGCAAACAGCAGCTCATTAGTTGATGCAGAGCAGGGCTGCTCAACACCAGCATCAAATCACACATCCCGAAATAGACACATGTTTAGACCACAGATCTCCAAAAAGGTACATGTCAGTTGACAAACTACATCAGCCATACATCAGACCAAAGGCCTTATAATCTAAACACATTAGACCTGAGAGCTCCAAACAAGCAAAGATTTCAGACTCAAAATAGACCTACACCAAAGCACAGTATAAGATTTTGTTGCTTATTTTATATGCTACCCTAAATGGAAAAATTAATCATTGTAATGCAACATGTCATGAAATACCCACCCTTAGCCCTAGAGGGCAGACAGCACTAGCAAAGATCCAATTTCATGCATTAAATTTTTGAAAAATATTTTTCTAAAAATATATAAAATTGCTCCATTTGCAGAATTTTGTTACAGTAATATGCTATGAAAAGCTGCATTTTCTTTGTTTAGTAATATCAACCCAGTGAATAAATTATTTTACTAACTACAATGACAATGTTGGGCCATTTATGACTTCTACAATTTAAAACCTCAGGTATGTTTTTGCTCATAACTCTATTATACTCTATTATAAACAGCAGTTTAAGTCATAATATATGGATGTCTTTAAACCTTATTTTTTTACTTCCATTACTAACTTCAGGTGGAAAAGGATGGCTACACGCGTCCATTCTGGGACAGGATATTGACAACAAGTTAAACTGGAAGACCAACACAGAGGCTGTGTATAAGAACAGGATGAGCAGGCTCCATTTCTTTAGTGGTGGAGATTTTCTATCACTCAGTTGTGGGGAACATAATGTACTTTGCTGTGTTCCACAGGGAGAGTAGACTGACTCTGTGATTGACTGCCAACTCGACACTTTTGAAGGCACCAAAGTTTTGTCTTTTTTTTTTTTTTGGATAATCTTGACCACCCTCTGTGGCACCATTTACTGGTCAGGCAGCTGAGCAGCTTCTCTGATTCAGCTCCATGGTGTTCACCACCACTAACCACCACATGGATAGTTCATTTAGATATACAGAAACAAGACTGAAGCTATTAAGCTATGAAAGTAAAGTTAGTTTTGACGAGGTTTTTTGAGATATTGACAGAACTGTGTGGTAAGTCTATATGCTTGACTGTTAGCTTAGATAAACAAGTGTAAGAATGTGAGAAGATTGGAAGGCTTTAGTGGCGCTGGTAGGGTGCTTTTTCTTTCTGTTTTGTGGGTGAGCCAGACTAAATGTTTCCCTGTTTGCAGTCTTTATTTTAAGCTAAGATAAATATCTCCATGTAGGTGTATATTTAACAGACTCGCAGCAAAGAAATTAAATTATTTGTCACCATTATGATTAAAATGTAATTCATAATGACAAAGTGTGAGCGGAGATGCAATTTATTCATTTATTTTTATATATGGAACTACAATGTGACAACTAAATAATCAGTGGAAAGCAACTCATGTTTTAACTATTAATACTCATGAGCCTTTCAATTAAGTGACAAATATGTTTTAGTTGTTCCATGCTTGCATACATTAAGTAGAAAGGAGGAGAGGAGGAGTGCCTTCTGAGCACAGAGTGAGACCTCCTTCACATCTCCGCCAGGAAGTGTTCTGTTTTCAAAGGTCATCCTTCGCATCTCGACAAGAAATGTCAGCTAAAATTGGATTGGGAGGGGGTAGTAAATGAATTAATAAATATATAAACAAATCAGAAAAGAAGCCATCAAAGACAAGGGAATGCCAAAAGACAGGAGGTGAGGAAGGCCAAGAGCTGCAGAGTGGAGGAGGGAGTGATTATTAAATTAAAAAATTAGCGATGTAGAAAATTAATCTATTTATAAACTAAGCAGCTTAGATACCAGGCCTAGAAGGCTATACCATACCACCTCCCAACACACAAAACCACATACACAGTATATACTATACACTCACATGCACGCAGACTTGCACTGCTTTGACTAAACTGTAAAACAGCATCAGCATCCACACAACAGCTTTTAGTCACTGAGCCACAAATCATCTCCACTACTTAGACAGCGCTCATTTGAATAAGGAATTATAATTATGTGATTCACATGAAATTTTCATTAGGTTGGGGTAAAGGAGAAAAAAAAAATGTATTACAGCGACGGATGTATCTAGGTGTTAATATTGATGACAGCCTTGGCTCACCCAGCCACAGGGTGACGAAGTGAATGCTAAACTAAAACTGGATGTTTTGCTCCTCTGCAGAGGAGATGCAGCTCCTCC